CCCCCCCCCCCCCCCAACTACCTTTCTGCTTTCAAGATTTTTTTTTCTAAAATATGCGTAGAAGGTGGTCGGAAATACAAAGTCTTCTTGGCGTTAGTCCTAAAACGCTTTTAGTTTACCTGTTCCTTTTGGGAGCCTATAACAGCCTGACCATAGCGGCACACTCTGTGTAACAGGGTAACATATTGTCCATTAGGTGCAATATGGCGCAATATGTCGCACTGCAGCCATGATGACTAGAATTCTTCAGAGTTCAGGCGATGGATTGTGAGAATAGCTGAAATAATGCGAGTCTGTTACAGTTGTGTTTTCTAAGTAGGTTGAGCATTTATTTAATTTTTTTCCAGTTGATGGAATTGATAATTTGGATTGGATTCAGGAGGATTTTTATTTTCGTTACATTTTTGATCAGCAGTATACACATTGACATTATTTCTCAGAAATATATTACCTTCTGAAATTTTTGATATTGTTTGCCCTGGTCAAGATCGTGTCTTGACTGTTATTTGATAACAGAAGTTGTGGTTGTAGTTCAAAAATGTCACACGAGGACAGTGACATCTGGACAATGTTTTGAGGAATTCAGGTTGGAATTCTAGGAAAAGTTGCCACGGAGACAAGGTGGAAGTTAGATGTTGGAAAAGCAAAACTCACAGATTGTAGTAGAAGGGAAAAAAGGTGAATTCTCATTAGTTTGAAAAGGAATACAGGCGAGGAGGAAGGCAGCCAGGAGACAATTAAACAATGTGAAATGATGCAGAAGAATATTAAGACAGTGGCGAATTCCTTGGAATAAACAACAAAAGTTATTAATTGAATGCTGAGAGGTGGATTGAAGGTGATAAAGAAAAGAGAATTGTGTGAAACATTTACAAGAAAAAGACAATTTGATGAATGTGGCAGAATAATCGACTTGTATTGAAAGAGACACGAAGAGGAAATTCACTATTTAAACATGGCAGCTGTGATGCCAAAGATGAAGATTGAATTTTCAGCAGAGAGTAATTTCAGAGTTGGAAGGAACTAACTATAATATAGTGACCTAAAATTATCAATATTTATAAATACACAATGGATAGTGTATTGGTGGAAATAGTTCATACTACTGTGAGGCTGACATCAGTGTTACCTAGGAGGTCGCTGAAAAGACTGATAGAACATAAAAATCCTCCCAAGGCAGAGGAGAATGGTGCGCAGGTATGTGAAAGCTGACCCAGTACCTTTTGTTTCCTATAAAGCACTGTTTTTATCAGAGTAATTTTATGAACAGTTGGGTTCAAGGCATATGTGTATATATTGAAAAACACATTCTTGGAAATTTTAGAAATTTTTCTTAATCACTGACTTTCAGTATATAGCAAACACTGTTGGGAAATTACTGTGGGGCAGGGGCAGGCAAAAGCAGTCTTTTGGAAGATGGTCAGAATTTTTCAAATTTTCTTTGATTGGCATATAATTTTTTCTACCGTCAAAAATGGAGGATAGATCAAAAAAGATGACCTGGAAGACTGCCAGAAAATATCTCTGGATGGGCCCCTGATAAACATGGTTTCCAGTTTTGATTTTTTTTTCTTTTTTTATGCTGTTATAAGTTACTCATAAGGATTTTGATATAAAAAGAAAATGGATAGAGGATTTTTTAGCAGAAGTGTAAAAGAAGAAAAATGTTAAAGAAGTAAAGAAAAAACTTTAAGTAGATTCTGACAACATGATCTATCTTAAAAATTTTTAATAATTTGTAAAAAAAAAAAAAAAAAAAATCATTTCCCAGCTGGAAATCAAGAGCAGTTAAAATGACTTGTGGTGGCTGGGAATACCTCCCTTTGTGAGTCCCCTCCCAGTAATATTGTTTGTATGCTGAAGCTTATCTGCATATGGCATGTGATTTACCTTAGGGAGCCCCTAATAATAATCACAATATTGCATTACAGAGTCAGAATACCTCTTTCTGTTAACCTCACCAATGATTG